ATGAAAAAAAAAAAAAAAAAAAAAATTGAATAGGATCAAAGTGAATTCCACAATAAAATCATTGATAGACTTAAAACAACGTGAAAAATGAGAAAAGTTTAAAAGAAATTTACTTCATTACGGCATTCATGAAATTGTGTTTACATTTTTTTTGAGAGACTAAGTCAAACATTTGAAAGAAAACAATATTATAATTAGAGTAATACTATTAAGAAAGTCATACATGACATGAACACGTGAAAAATACTACTCTTATAATTATAAATCAAAATTTCTAAATCACATACTTTAGTCAAAATTTCATATTCTCTTAATAAATATATAATTTTTAATTAAATTGAACTTTCATTTTCATAAGCTAGTATATATTTTTATTATAGAGTATTTTGATACATTTTTGTATGACAAGACTTTTTAAATTATTAACAACATGATAATATAAGAAATCTTATGTAATTTTACAAACTCAAAACATATTAATTTAAGGAAAAATTATGACAATTCTTGTTAGGTGGGCACTTCGAATATTTAATATGTTAATTATTATTATATACTTATTATATATAGTAGTATATGTTTATGAAATGACGGCCGGCCATGAGGGTACTATGGGGTGCTGAAAAATCAGAATCTTGCATCTTTTTGTGGCTGCTGCAGCTGTTACTGCAATACTTTATTAGGTAGGAGGTGGTGGGGACTTGCGTGTCTCACTGCCTCTTCCTTTTCTCTTTTTACCCATCAATGGTCCACATTTCCACATGCCATCATTCATTCAATTTTCTTACTTTTACATTCTTACCCTATATTTTCCTATATTTTCCCCCTATCACGCCCCTTCAATTGATTGGGGACATAAATGTTTGGTGTGTGGTTTTATGAGAGAAGAGGTATGAAGAGAACGTTCTAGAAATTTGTAGTCTAACATAAATTATGGTTTGACTGATATTTGATACAGTAATATTCATGAGAAAATTAAAATCTTGATGATATTTGAAAACATATAGTAAGGGTGATTAATTAAGAGAATAGTGTGGGATTCGAATAAAAAATATATTAAATATTTACGAGTGGGTATACAGTGTTATCGCACAAATTAAGTTTTTGAGTCAAAAAAATAAGTGCCCAACCGAAATTTGTTTGAGTAGACAGACGGATCTCCGACCATCGATGAATTAATATATAACTTAGAACAATATTTGCCAAAAGTCCTATAAGAAGGAACCTCCTTCTTATGATGAGGTGGTAAAACAATTACAATATATTATATACTAGACAATTATAATATTTTGAAACATTTTTTATTGGCTGGGGCTTTAGGCGGCCGCTTAACTCGCCTAAGGCTTGAGTCGCCCCTGAAAGAGCTAGAGACTATATCCTATGCTTTCACATTCATAAGACCTATATGAACTTAAAATTGGAAAAATAACTCATTTCATGTAGAAACGTGCACCAACATGGTGATGCACTAGCTTTTTGATCGTGACGGTTTGAAAATTATAAATTCTAATGCGGACATAGTGAATTTCATCATCATATATTATGCTTTCAAATTTTATTTAAAAAAAGTCAAACGAAAAGAATTTGAATCCCTTCTGATATCGAAGAATGGAGGTAGTCCAATACAATAACGGACGAAAGACTCGATCATGAATCTACATGACTCTCTGTATTACTGGTGAAGATCTTGGGTGAAATGAGAAAGAAGTGACCAATAATTGATGGTCATCATATTCTTTTTCTATGGGTTTATTCACTTCAACGGTCTTCATTTTTGTTTTAACCAATTAATTTTTTTACTTTTGTAATACCACATATGTTAAATAGGGTATAAACTGGTTGAATAGAATAATTTTGGTTTAGAAAGAAGAAGTCCACACTCTAGATTATTTCCCTTCAACTTGTTTTACCAGACTCAAATTAAATGTTGTAATACTTCATTGTAATGTTCACTAGGGTTGATCACGGATCGAATTAGTTCAGTTTTAGATAAAATTCAAACCAATTCGATTTTCACGAATTGACTAAATCTGAAACCGAATCGATCCGTGAAGACTATCAATCCGAACCAAACCAAACCGTGAAATAACGGATTGGTTCGGTTCGGTTCCCACGGATTGAGCTTTTTCAAATAACCCAATATAATTATATTTTACTATTTTAGTTGTGGCTCAACCAAACAATAAATCTGTCAAAATAGTGTTTTGTAACACATTTAATCTAAAAAAAAGTAAGAAAGTGAGTGATAGAAATCTGTAAGAATTTTTCAGATGTTATGGTAATAAATTAATAATATAGTTTCTTTTGGAGATGAGGGACGAAGAAAGAGTCGATAGACACGTAGAGAGTCAGAGGCTGAGAGTAGAAAACCTAGGGTTCGATACGCTTATGTAGGGTTAAAATTTAAAAGCAAATAATGAATAAAAAATAAATAAATAGAAATAATATATTACACTATACCTATATTATTCATGGATCAGATCGGTTAACGGGTTGGTTCGGTTTTTTCAATCCGTTAATCGAACCGCTTATTGCGGATTGCTAATTTTTAAAACTATCACCAAATCATTAGATTAAAAAATCGAACCGAACTATACTGATCGAATTGGTTCGAATCCATTTGACAAATTAACCAATTATTTGAACACCCCTAATGTCCACTACTATTATTTTATGATTGTGTTACCAATATAAACACAAAAGGACATCTTGACAATGGTGGCATCCTCATTGTTAGGTGGCCCCAAGGACTTTTAGGGCATTATATTTTGTTCTGTAAGGTAACTAGCATTGATTTGGTAACTAGCCATTCATTGCACGGTCATACAAAAGTTACTTTATTCTTACCCTAGAATAGAAATTCAAAAATTAAAATAAAAAAAATAACTCATACTCATAAATACATTGATAATACTTGCATACTCACTATAATCTATGCATGTGTGCCCCCATTGGAGTGGATAAACGAAGAATAATCAGTTTTAGACTGAATTTAACCCGCAACAAGAAAAGCTTTGAAGAATTTGAAAAATCATTGGCTAGATGCTTGTTGAGTTTATAAACTCTCGTCTCTCTCCCTTTCGTTTGAATTCATTTTTATTTTATTTGGCTCCATTCATTAGTGAATTATTTATTTATTTATTATTATTATTGAGAAAGTTATATAATTAGTTTAGGATCTTATGCATCTGTTCGTAAGTCAATTTAGTTACTCATAATAATATAGGGAATGTAAATTTGGTAAAATAACAAATGAGGACAATATAAACATCTCAGTTGAAGGCCAAAAAGTCATTCAAAATAAGTAATTTATCAATTTTTGTGAGTCAAATTTTTGACATTTAAAATGGTACAGAAATAGTATATAAGTATATAAAAGGAATATGACTAAAAATGACTTTAAATAACTCAAAGATAAAAGATGGTAGTGAGTTAAAATTTTTGACATGGGTAACTAATATGGGACAGGGAGTAAAAAATAGATAGTGATGTAATAGGTAGGATTGAAGCAAGGTGGACAAAATGGAGACAAGTTAGTGTCACAAAGGAATAACAAATAAATTACCGAAGAAATTAGAAGTAAGATTTTATAGAATAACTATTAGATCATCTATCATGTAACGATAGGAGTACCGTAAAAAGATAAGATATCATGTAGCGATAGGAGTAACTTAAAAAGATAAAATCAATAACGAGCATGTGAAGAGAGCATTAGGCATAATGCTTATTAATGATAAAATTTGAAGAAATATATTTTTCTCTAATTTATCTCTAACCTCCACAAGGTCCTTAGTGAGCTAACTAGCCCACGATGCACCAATTAGAAGAAGAAGAATACTTGTTAATAATGAAATAGAAAATTTGTGTGACATTTATATAGAATAATAACAAGGATGATAACCGCAAGATGATATTTTTATAATTTTTTTTTGTAATTTTCTCTTCTCTTTCAATAAATTTAGGTGATCAATCCCATTTACATGATAGTCATTTTTTCCTCTCCCTTCCATCAAAACTACTAATTTTTTAATATTGATAAACAAGACGTGCTCTTATAATTAAAACAGAGTCGCCAAAACTTGCCTACCCCACCCATTAATTGAGAACACATCACTTTCGCAGAAAATAACAACAAATTACAATTAATTGAAACAACATAATATAAATATTATATATACATAGTTGCAAACATATATACAAGTATAAACACATGTGAAAGCAATCGGAATAGATTCCAAGAAGACAGAGAAGCGAAAAAGACTGAAAAGCCAGCCGGCACACTATCCACGCGTCAAATTCCTCAATCCTGAAATACTTATAAAAAAGCCCCTACTTATCCGATTAAATAGATACTCCAAAACAAAGGAATTAATGACTTTTAGTCCCCCACAAACAATATCCACGCGTCTACATACATATCTGTATATACGTATATATATTTTTATTTATATACTCCGTATATTCTTGTACACATATAGGCTACGCGCTTGACGACGAGTGAGTACGAAGAAGCAAACAGTGAACTGCAAAAAGTTTCATGAACCAAAAAAAAATGGTGTACCTACTACTTCACTCGAAAAGGAATGAAACTTGTAAAACATCATTTATAGCTTCACACCCAGATTATTATATACTCCGCTTGTTAATTTACAACATTAACTCTCAGCATCAAGCGCGTGGGACCACGTGCACCAGTGAGTGAACTATATGATTCAAAACCTACTGTTCAATGATCACACTATTCACAATTCTGTAGAGTTCAGCAGGTCGAATCTCTAGGTCATGATCGGAAATTTTTTCAGTAATGGATTATGAAGTGCACTGAGATATCCGACACCACTATTGTAAAAATAAAATATAAAAAAAGTCATCATCTTAAACAGACATATATATATATATATATATATATATATATATATATAGTTTAATTAGATATATAGTTAGAAAGAGATCAATATGTTCTAATCATGAAGAGAGAGATATAAGATGGTTTAGTTTCAGAATAAGGAAACTGGAAAATGAACATATACATACATACGATATATCTTTGTAGTGATTTTCATATCAGACGCTTCTCTCTCTCTAAACATTTCATACGATACATAGGAAAAACAGGGATGTTAGGGAAGAAACGATGCCGTTTAATGGAAATGAGTGCGCGATCTGGTTCACAGCCACAAAGGTGGAGGCTCGTTCAAATCTACCGGCAACCCACGTCTCACAATTCCAAAATACGCCGCCGCCTCAGTGGAGGAACTCTCAGGCGGGGCGACGTCGCCGGGAACTGACGCACGGCGGTCGTTCGCAATCGACGGGCCACCATTCGAGCTGGCACCGTTGAGCACACCGGTCTGGAGGAAGTCCCCGATGACGAGACGGCCGGACGGCGAGGTCCACCGGTGGTGGTCCGACGGGAGGTTGAGATCGAGCGATAAACCGGTATCTGGCGCCGGAAAGTTGGTCTTGGCCTTTGCACCTCTGAGTGACCTCGCCGCTCCGTCGTAGGCCAGAGCAGCCTCTTCCGGCGTGTCGAACGTTCCCAACCAAACCCTAGTTTTCTTCCACGGGTCTCTTATCTCCGCTGCGTAACGTCCCCACGGCCTCTTTCTCACTCCTCTGTAGTGTCCCTCCCTAGTCGACGCCATTACCAGAAGCTTGAATAGAGAGAGAGTGTGTGTGTTTCAAGAGGGGGGCCTAAAAGGAAAAGAACAAAAAAGAGTTTTTAGAGAGAGAAAGAGAGGGGAGAGAGTTGAGTGAGGGAGGGAGGGAGGGAGCTACGTTTTGTGTGTGTTTATAAAGTGGAGGGACCCACCCAGTCTCCCGTAATCGTCGGCTGGACGGCACGACCTCTCTCGCTCAAATAAATAAACCACCGCGCGTAATTCCCTGTCTCGCGCGACCACCACTCTTTTTTTCTCTATCGTCCATCTCAATCAAATCAAAAACTACGTTCTCTAATTCATCAAACCGATATTTAAGAAGCACAAATACATACAAAGAAAAAATACAGACACAGGATTTTGCTTTGTTTGTAATTATAAAAATAATTTTATATTCTCAAAAAATTAAAAATTAAAAATAATACAAAAATATCTGTTTAGTTCAATTTTTAAAAAATTATTTAAAAGATTTTTCTTTGAAAACAATTTTCAGTCCTCTGAATTCTTGAGAATTGTTTTCAAAATTATAAAACAAACAAATCACAAATTTTTAAAAAATATAAGAGTTTACAACTTACAACATAGATTGGTCAGGAAAATATAAAAAGGAACTGTTGGGCTAATGCTTTTATTTGATGTTTTTTTTTAAAATTATATTATTTTTCAACTAACTTATGATATATTTTAAATTACAATTTCTATTTTTTGAAGAAAAAAAGTTTCAAAATCATTTACTGTATTATTAAAGGGTCTAAATGTGTGTTTTTCTTGCTCCTCCAAGGCTCCAACTAAAAACTAGAAACAATTGAAAGAATGTTTATAACTTTCAATAAATAAATAAATAAACGCTTCAGGAGAGTAGAGAGAGAGCTATCTACCAAAGATTATTTATTGGATGCAATAAATTGGGGTTCCTTAAAAAAAGAAAGCATTTGGTATGTCCGGTATCAAAATCATTCAAGGGCGAATCCAGAAATATAGTCTGAAGTGGGATAATATATTTTGGGGTGGGCTAGTATTACTTTTTTTTTCTTTTTTTTTTTTTGGGAGCAAAAATTACCTATAAATAAATTTGGGGGGCTCAAGCCTACCAGAGTCCCCCTTGCAGTCACCAGTACAACCATTTATATTGTGCATGTATACGAATGAAAATAGACGACACTAATAATTTATTTGTCTTAAAAACGATTTGTATCATTATTCAAATTTCATACACTACTGAATTTTCATATGGTTGTGGTACCTAATAAGTTAAGACTAAGGTTTTGTTTGGAAGCTAATTTACTTTATATTCTTTACTTTTTTAAAAATAGTAGTATTATTTAGTCAAGCAAAACATAAAGGTGTATTGGTAATACTTGTTGTCATTTAAATAATACTAAAATATACTAGTATTTTTTAATCCAATTCCTTCAGAAAAATATATTGAACACATCTCATAATAAAAATTTTATTTTAATTAAACTAAAAACACAAAGTAAAAACAGTTACCTTGTTGCTGCTCATGATTCCCAAGAGGTAGCTAAGGAGGATAAACACGTGAGTCACAGGGGATGGTAAATGCAAAACCAGGTGGGGTCCGCAGTAAGGGGGAACAGAGCCGCCGCCTGATTTGACGTGTCCCAGGAGGCTGTCATGACTACTCCACTGCTCGGAATGACGTCAGCCCTACCTGTCGTACGGCGCCTGCTTTTCTTTATTTAAATGATATAAACCACTAAAATAACACCAATATTATATAGATACAGATATACACATATAGATATAGACACGTATATACATGCAGAGTGATGATATAATGGATCAGACGTCAGGAGGTAAGTGGTTGCGTGTCGAGTGGTGAGTGGTTGGTGGCTTTTGTTTTATGCGGAGGGGCCTCTCTATGTGTTGTTGTCAGTAGTGAGAGCAGAGCCCCACGTGGAGGGTACATACGTGGTGTCGAGTGGCGGGAGACAGCCGAGTTAGGGTTTTCATTTTTTGACTCGGTATGGCTTTATTCACTCGTTGGGCTTGGGCGGTGGTGGAAAGTGGACCCCAACACTAAAATTTGTGGGTACCCATATATATATATATATATATTTTCCTGTAAAATAAATACAGAGCACTTACAGATTGAAACAGTATACAAAAATAATACCATTGACTGAGACTTGAAAGCTAATGTTGTGATCCACAGTGGGATACAAAAATAAAGACATAGCACTTGAACAGATTGAACAGTATTCGATCTCTATGGGTCCCATTTTCTGATTCTTGTCAATATATATATATTTTTTTCTAAATATTGAAAAACAGATAAAAAAATGTCAAGTCGTTTTCTCTGCACTTTAAGAAGAAAAAGAAACCAATTAGGGCATATATGTTAATTTTGATAGGATAATTTTAGTAAAAAAATATTGTGTTAATTTTGTCGGAATAATTAAATCAAAAAAGGGTATATTTTTATTTGTTACTCGATTGTGAAAAAGTGAATTAATGTTGAATTGAATTTTTTATTTAACTAATATTGAGATAGTAGACATGCACTCATCTCATGAATCACATGTTCTAGTGGGCCCGGTTGGATTTTCAATCATTGCGATGCTTATAAAGCAGGTTTATCACGACAACCTCTTATCGCCCATCCTCTTGTTAATTGAATCGAGAGGTTTTTCTTGCTTTCACACTCTTACCCCAGTTTGGTATCTATTTTGCTTCATGCGTTAACAACTTATTGTACGCGTTTTGTTTATAGTATTTTTTGTTTTTGTTTTTGTCGGATAGTTTAACAGTAAACTTTTCTATGTTTTTGCACCATATCATTTGGCATTATAACGATAAAACTAAACATAATTTTGATTATTATTTAAAACATTTTACAACAAAACATTTATTTTGTTTACTTATTTTGTTTTGGGTTAAAACAAAGCGTGTACTAACAGACCCTAAATTTGTAACTCAAAAAACAGTTCTCAACAATTCAGAAAATAATAAAACTGTTGCCCCCAAGGACTTAGTAGATTTGGTAAGGTCACGGCTTGTGTTCCTCAAGGTCTCACGTTCAAACCCGTCCATCCCCATTATTCTCCTGACTCATATGCTGCTTTCACTGTGGGGTTGGGGTTGACAGCTTGGAGTTTACCTTGTAACTTCAGCCCAAAGGGAGGTCGCGGAGAGGGTTCTCATGTCATCAGAAGAAAAAAAAATAATAATAAATAATAGTAATAATAAAACCATTCTCAGAGAACATTTTTTTTATGGATATATGAAAATAGGAATTTTTATAATTGAATTTTCAGAAATCTAAATCAAGAGTAAGGACGAATTCAAAAATTAATGGGGTAGGCTAATATTTCTTTGGGTGGATTAATAGTAATAATAATTTTTATTTTTTGGGCTAGGCTAAAATTAGGAATAGCAAAAAAAAAAAAAAATTATTTTTGGGGGGTGGGCTCAAGCTCACCCCTGAATCTGCTAGTGTATTCAAGAGAGATGTTTCGTACAGTTTTCAAATTTTTCGTATTTACAAACCAAGCAGTTTTTAGTGATTCAATGAGCAAAATTTAATTTATGTAAGTGGGGTGGTGAGCTCGACTATATAATGTCGTCATGTGATGAGACCCATTACCACACTTAGATAAATTGAATTCGATAACTATATGCTCACAAATCATTATTCATAAATTATTACTATGATTAATAGAATTTTTCACGCTAACCGGGCTTAATTAAGTGTAGCTTGAAATAATGGGCCTAGATGACCAATCCTTCCCAAAGGGTAGGCCAGAACAATCGGGTTGGGCTTGCTGCCTACCATCTCAACATTTTCTTCTCAGTATGGAGTAAACTAAGGAAGCATTTTAACAACACAATAATTTATATTACACTTTTTATAGGAAAAATGTGAAATTTCAATAATAACAGTGAAAAAGAACTTAAGATTTACAATATTATTGATAGTCAATCCCTTTGTAGGTTATGAGACCCAAGAAGGAAAATTCTGAACTTACCGACACGGGACAACCAAGTGAGAGAGATGAGTCTGAACTGTTGTGCTGGAGCCTACATCCATATCGGTCGTGTATCATGCAAGTGTGTAACACAATTCTTGTGAGAATTTAAAATATCAACCATGTTAAGTGATGTATATCATATCAATTTTATACTGTACAAGTCAAATTAAACATTATAAAATTAATGTGTGTGTAATATGGTGGTTTGATTTACTTGCCAAAAAAAAATAAGGTGGTTGATTTATGTATCTTCATCTGGCAAGTTTGAAACTCGGCCATCATATAGCTTTAAATTTTCAATGGCATAGATTATGGTTTGACCATGTTTTGTAGGGTGCATAGTTATTATTGACTGTCTAAATTATACTAAAAACAGTACTTTTCAGTACTAGAGGATTGTATATTAAGATCCTTAGTCATGTTCACAATGCAGTCAACATCTTGAAATGCAATTAATATTACCATTTATTATAGAATGTTAATTAATTTTACCATTTTTCTATACCATTGTTTAATTCAGGACAGTAAAGACACAAATAGAGTAGTTTCTATTCGGCTAAGACCATTCTGATAAAACAACTTTTAAATATAAGTTTGGTGAGTTTGGTGAGTTTAAGGCCTTCTTGAACATGGTTTTTGTAAATATAGCGCAATTAGAACTTTAATCTCAAACTAAAACAGTTTTAATTATAGTTTTCATATTAATGTGCATTAGTTCAACTGATATGATCTCTTCTTCTCATAAGGGGAGGTTAAGAGTTTGAGAGCGTGCTTTTTCTTAAATTTTCAGGAAAAAAAAAAACTATAGTCTTCATTCAAGTATTGGTTTTTGGGAACCACAGCTTAATTTTTTTGTACTATACCTTGACCCCATAACAATTTTCAAGACCCTGTAATTTTAAAGAAAAAAAATATATATACAGAAATACAACATAAAATAAGAAGAGCTTGATATATACTAGTTAATTGAAAATCCTTTAATCCTCACATATGGCTGCTTTAGTAAACTAATTAAGTAAGTGAATATTCAACTTTGAGATTAGCATCAGCCCAAACTGCCAGATTCCATCAGTTATTCTCATGAGGCCAAAAAGAAGGGCTTTTCGAGGTAAAAAATCACCATATCCTGTTAA